CTATTAACTATAATACTGTGAGTGACTATCATTGGGATGAAAGTGACGAGCCGAATAGTCTTTGTTGTCTTGTTGCCTTTGGTGATTTTGACGGAGGTAAACTTTGCTTTCCCAAGTTAAAAATAATTGTTCCACTTTGTCCTGGGCAAGTTATAGTGTTTTCTTTGCGCCTTTTTCTCCATGGTAATTTTTCTGTCACAAAGGGAATTCATCACAGTATCGTGTATTTTGTGCATAGCTCCTTCTTTCATCATTTGCAGGACTTTTTTCTGTATATAATGACCTTAAAACTAGTGTAGAGAGAGATACAAAAGATAATGTTGTTTCTGGACCAATATGGCGTCAAAATCTTGAAGATGCTTGCAAGTTGAACCGCCAGATACATCTTTTTAAACCGAAGACAGAGCAAATACAAATCTCTCCACAACCTTCAGATCGTAGAAGAGGATGTATTGGTAAGAAAATACATAATATTAGATCTTAAATGTAAATAAAAATTAATTATAACGATTATTTCTAGATTTGTCACGTACCAGACATGGATTAAAGGCAGAAGACCCATTATCTAATTCATAATAAAAAGCATATATGTTATATATTTACGAATATATATATTTTTTATAGAAAAAAATTAATAAAGTTTTTATCCATATTGGGTCTGTTTTTAACCTGTATATATGGAGTATCTAATATGAGTTATTTCAAATGCACAAAAAATGAATCCTGATATTCTATAATATATCGTACCAAATCTAATTGGTCAAAAACACTAAAATCGCTAAATATATTATTCTCCATAATCAATAAATATGTCTGGTTTTGATATTTCAACCATTCTCGATAAAAAAGATAGAACACTACCCAAACTCTTTAACATTTGTCCTGGATATGATATGAAATATGTCATGTCATTTATTTTGCTTTTGATAGAAAACAATATAACGAACTTTTCGATAATGAGAGATCATTTGATACTTTATCTATCATAAAACAAAATGAAACACTCTTTCAATAGAGCTTATGGGTAAGAATACTATTACAAGATTTATTAAATTCTGAAAAATTTAGTTTCTATCACCGGCTATGTTTATTCGCATTATTCGGTAAAGGTAAATTTGTTAATTTTGATTATTACAAACCACAGATTCATAAAAGTCATACAGCTATTTGTTTTGGTTGCTAGAAACTCATAAAATTGATGATGTACAACTAAAGAAAAAATTTTATTTTATTAGAAATAAGTATGTTTATTATCTTGAACCTAAAGACCTGATGTAGGAACATTGGGATTACAGGTACAATAAAGCTAGAACTAGAGATGGTTCAGCAAGAATTATTCAACAGGCATATAGACGATTCCAAGAAAGAGTACTATCGAATGCACAACTTGCTTGGAACAGCTTAGAAAATGATAATACTTCGGATGATATAAAATTTTTAGGTTTAACAAGACGTGAAGTGAAAAATTCTTAGACTCGAGAACAATTTAATCAGTGGCATACTAAATGGATTGAATTATATAAAAACAATCCTATGATGCGCAGTTCTATTATTAATAGACAATATAAAGAATATTATATTCTGGATAATTGGATAGAATGCAAAAAAAGTCAATTGCAGATTAGATTCCAAAAGTGACTTTTAGAGATAGAAGCATAGTATTTATTTAATTTATTAATTCCTTGCGGGTACAAAATACCTATACTATTTATATAATATTTTTTGGCTATGCTAGTTCTACTAATACTCTTGAAGATATAGATAGGTAGTTATCCACCGTTTTCCTAAAGGCAGAGCCTCATTGCTTTGCAATAATGCTATTCTTGAGATCACAACTGAGAAATATATTATGAAATTTTTGGAATAGAAAATACCAATGTGAAATAAAAATCTATAAAGTGGGTTCAGCAGGTAATATATTTTTTATCTTGCGCTTTTGCCATAACTCTATCTCTTTTTGCAAATCTAGTAGAGTATCAAACCTTAGTCGAATTGCAAGTAGATCATCCTCAGGTCTATCTAGATCAAATACAACAAATTCGCCTTTGCGTAAGTAGCTGTTAATAACTATTGATGCATTTTTTACGTCATCTGTATATCTACAAGTAATTTTAAAAACATCTTCATATGAACTACCAGAATTAAAAAGTACTAAGTAATTAGTATTTTCACGCATGAATGTAGTGATTTTATGATATTTCTGTGCTACAAATATACATGAAATATTTTGATGTCGCCCATTTTCAAAAAATTGGCCAATTTAATTCTGTATATGTTCTGAAGCGAGACACAAATCCTCAAAAACAATTGCTATACTTCGTTCAGATGAAAATGCTTTTACACTAGAGATTTTTTCTGGTGATATATAGCTAAATCGTATATTTTTATAGTAAGGTGCTTTCGGGTCTTTTGAAATTATGCCATACATATATCTAATGAATGCCTATTTTGGCTCATCAGGATGATAACCACAAACTATTAAATCATCACAAGAAATATATCTTCTACCACCTTTTTTTCCTTTATATATGTATTCAGCTTTATTACTGAGAAAAAGATTTGTTAAGATATTAGTCTTACCTGATCTACTTTTTCCTGTAACTATCATTTTAAAAGGCCATGTTGGACTAGCTAGATGAGATTGATAACGAGATACAACATGTTTATTAGCTTTATCCATATCCATAAAGAATAGTTTCATAGTAGGTATTTTTGAATTTTTTTGCATGACGGATTGGAAATCCATAACTCTGTTTTCTATATACTGGATAAAAATTTTCTTCCTTTTTTGGTTGGACGAAAAATATTCCTGTATATATACCAAATAATTAGTATTGTTATTATAACAAGAACAACAAGCTT